AAACCCACGGGTTAAAGGAGAAACCCACGGGTTAGGGACAAACCCACGGGTTAAAGGACAAACCCACGGGTTAAAGGACAAACCCACGGGTTAAAGGAGACACCCACGGGTTGTGAAGGAACACTGACAGCCCTGGGGGCTCAGCCTGGAATCGCCTGGGCTGGGCTGGGCTGGACACGGGCGCTGCTCTCCGGCAGCAGCGGCCCCAGGCTGCTCTCTGCTTGTCTGCAGGAAATCAATAGGATCCCAGACTGGTGTGGGTTGGAAGGGACCCCAGACCCACCCAGTGCCCCCTGCCATGGCAGGGACCCCTCCCACTGTCCCAGCTGCTCCAGCCCCAGTGTCCAGCCTGGCCTTGGGCACTGCCAGGGATCCAGGGGCAGCCACAGCTGCTCTGGCACCCTGTCCCCCTGCTCCCAGGGAAGTCCCACCTAAGCCTGTCCTCCGGCGGTTTAAATCCGTGTTATTTTCCTTGCCGACGGAAGGGTCTCGGCTGAGGGGCAGCCGTGGGATAGCTGGGACGCCTGAGCTCGCTGGTGCCGTGGCACTCGCACGGCCTGGGGCAGGGGGAGACTGGGGGGCTGGGGAAGGTTTGGGGGCTGAGGCTTCTGGGGATGGCGAGGAGCTTGAGGACCTCCGGGGCTCGGAGGTGTTGGGGTGTCTGGGGGATTTTAGTGGTGAGGGGGGCTCCGGGAACCTGGGGGTGTCGGGGGTGCCCGCGGGCAGGGGCTGCCTCCCGCACCTGCGGCCGCCGGGGATGACCCGAAAATCCCGCCGGCTCCTACAGCGAACCCGCGCTCCCAGCGGGGGCTGCACCGAGCCCGCCGCCCCCTCCATCCATCCCTCCCTCCCTCCCTCCCTCCCTCCCTCCCTCCATCCGTCCATACGTCCCTCCATCCATCCATCCATCCCTCCATCCATCCGTCCGTCCATCCCTCCATCCCTCCCTCCCTCCATCCACCCGTCCGTCCGTCCGTCCGTCCGTCCCTCCCCTCCGCGGGGCGGCCCCGCCGCGCCCCCGCCCCGCTGTCCCCGCGCCGGGCGGAGCTTGCCCGCGGTGCGGCGGGCTCGGAGTTGCGCCGGGCGGCGGAGGCGAGCGGAGCGCGGCGCTCCCGGCCCCGGCGCCGGCCCGGGCCATGCAGGATGCTCCCGGCCGCCGCCCCGCGCCCGCCGCCGCTGCTGTGGGCGCCGCCCGCCGAGCCCCCCGCTCCGCCCTGGGCCTGGGTGCTGCCCGCGGCCGCGGGGCTGCTCCGGGTGGGCGCAGCCGCCGCCGGGGCTCCGCCGCCGCCGCCGCCGCCGCCGCCGCTGCTGCTGCCGCCCCCCGCGCTGCTGCGGCCCGGGCCGGGCTGGCGCGGCCCCGCCGAGCCCCCGCTGCTGCCGCTGCTGCCCGCGGCCGCCGAGCCGCTCCTGCACGGCCAGGTAAGGGCGGAGCCGCCGTGCGGGCACCCAACTTTCCGGGAGCTGCCGCCCGGCGCCGGCCCCGGCACCGAGACCTCCGCCCGCGGCGGCAGAACGGACCCCGCGGGGCGCCGGGGGCTCCCCGGGCTCCGCATCCTCCTTTTCCGAGCTCCGCATCCTCCGCTTGCCGGGCTCCGCATCCCCTCTTCCCCGGGCGCTGCATCCCTCTTTTCCCGGCTTCTACAGCTCCCTTCCCCGGGCTCTGCATCCCCTTCTTCCCAAGCTCTGCATCCCCGCTTCCCAAGCTGTGCGTACCACCCTTCCTGGGTTTTTCATCACCCCCTTCCCAAGCTTTGCATCCCCCCTTCCTGGGTTTTTCATCCCACTCCTTCGGGGCGCTGCATCCCTCTCTTTCCCAGCCCCGCGCCTCCTTTCCCAGCCCCGCATCCCCCAGGCTCGCTCGCCGGTCGCGGTCCCGGTGTGCAGGAGCGCGTCGCTTTCCGCGGCTCTGGAAGCGTGAGGCGGGGATTTCTCCGGGAGGAGAGGGGCTGCCGGGGGGTCCCTCGGCTGCCGGGGGTCCCAGAGGGGCTGGGGGTCCCTCGGCTCGGGCTCCCCGCCGCCTGCGGGATGCGCTTTCCGCAGATGCGGCCGGAACGGGAGCGATGCTCCCGGCAGCCGGGGCGGCATCGCCGCCGAGCGTTCTGTGAATATTTATAAAGACGAAAGTTTTGAGCCGTGTCATTGGAACCAGCGTGTCGCGCCAGGGCTTTCCCTGATGAATATTTCAATTATTAATTGCTGCCGTGAGGCGGCTGGCAGCAGCGGAGCGCTCAGCTCGCCCCTCTCAGCGGAGGGGTCGGAGCCGTGCGCGCAGTTTGGCCTCGGCTTTATGGTTTTTGGTAGACAGAAGTAAAAATAAACGCGAGCCGCGAGCGCCGTGGCGTCCGCTCGATTCCGTGTGATGATTTCCAGCCTTTTCGAGCTCGAGCGTCTCTTGCGGTTCGCGAGAAAACAGTCGGCGCTGCTCTGATGAAACGGGAACATCAATTATTCCCCAGCGGGAGACGCTCCACCAACCTGCAGAGCTGCTTTTGCTGCGGGAGCCCGTTGGCCGGGCGACTTTAAGCTGAGCTAAAAACGTCTCTGCCGTTCGCTTGGGCTCTCCAGAGGCATTTCCAGGCTGTTGCCGGCGCTGCGAGGTCGCTGCGAGCAGCGGAGCCCCGGCTGCGGCCGCCGCGCCCCGCTCCAGCTGCGCCCCGAGCCGCTCCGAGCCGCTCCGGGCCGTGCCCGGCGAGCACCAGCCTGGCGGCTGAAGGGGCAATCCCGGCATCTGCCGTGCTCTTCTCTCGCGGAATTAGGAAATCATGGAAAGCATCGGTTACTCAGCGTAAAACCCTTCTAACTCCTCCTCTTCTTGTGTGTCTTTGGTTTTTTCCGGCCCCTCCGAAGTGGATATTTGGAGCTCATTCCCCGCTCGTAGGATTTTCCCCTTCTTCCAGCGTGGAATTCGTCCCGGTGCTCCCGCCCGCGTACTCAGCCGCGGTGCCGAAGGGCTGGATGGATAAAAGGCTGCCCAGCTGCAAAGTAAGTGCGAGCCTGGCGTGCTGAGGGCTCTGGGGGCTTTTTTTTGGAGTACCTGAGCTGCAGAGTGCTGTGGGTTTAGGGCTGTGGGAGGTCGCTGTTTGTCAGGAGAACCCTGAGGAGGAGGAAGGTTGGGATGCTGGAAGGGGCAGGTGATGGAGCAGCAGTTACAGCTTCACTGCTCCCAGGTTTTAATAGGACTAAAATGTTCTTAATGTTTATTCCTTTGCGTAGAATGTGCTCGTTTTCCTCCCAGATGCGATCAGGGGCTTTTCCATCTTCCCTTTCTCCCTGGTTTTCCCACTGTTTGTCCCAAAGGGGTGCCACAGGTCAGTGCTGGCAGAGCAGTGCCACCGTGGGCACTGCCACATCCCTGGTGCCAGGGTGGCCCTCGGGGTCCCGTGTCCCCGTCCCAGCCCTGTTCCCCACATCTGCCCCTTTGCCAGCTGAGTGCTGAGCACCTGGCTGTGTGCCACTGTCCCTCAGCTGGTTTTGTACCTTTGTCCCTTCTGTCCCTCAGCTGGTTTTGTGCTTTGTCCCCTCTGTCCCTGAGCTGTTTCTGTGCCTTTGTCCCCTCTGTCCCTCACTCCCCTGTGCCCCCTGGCTGGGGAGGTGGCTGCAGTCCCTGGTGCAGTGGGGCCACTCGGGGTGGCTGTGGCAGGACAGGGAGTGGCTGTGGCAGCCCAGCCAGGGACTCCTTGCCTCCAGGACTCCTTGCCTCCAGGACTCCTTGCCTCCAGGACTCCTTGCCTCCAGGACTCCTTGCCTCCAGGATTTCTTGCCTCCAGGATTTCTTGCCTCCAGGACTCCTTGCCTCCAGGACTCCTTGCCTCCAGGACTCCTTGCCTCCAGGACTCCTTGCCTCCCGTGCAGCTGCAGCACTGATCAGTCGTGTTCAGTTCATTTTTAAGCTCTCACTTCAGCCTCATCAGCCCCGAGGCAGCAGAAACCCGCCTGGCTCGGGCAGTCTGTCCCCAGCTGAGGCTCTGCCTGTTGAAATGCCGAGTTAAAGACTCCTTCTCACTCGTGTTTCTGAGTCGGGGACCTCAGACTGTAACGTTTTCCTTTCTTTCTGCTGGACAGATCTACCTGAACAGCGCCTTTGCCCTGGACCCGGCCTGGATCCAGCCCGAGGAGCCCCGGCTGCTGCAGGGGGCTGAGAAGCCTCTGCTGCTGAGCAGCCGAGTGGCCCTGGCTGTGGCCAGGCCAGCTGCTGCCTCCAGACCACTGCCCACGCTGCTGCTGGCCCCTCAGCTCCTCCCAGGTCAGGAAATAATTACAGCACTCATTAAGTACTTGCCTGTTTCTCGGTGGTTTTCCCTTACTGCACGCCCTGGAAAGCAAAGATTGCCTTCCAGCCAGCTGCAGAGCCTCGATGGGCAGGTGCAGCTCGCCCTCTGAATGCCCTGGCAGGAGAAAGGGCCCTGTGTGATGGCAGCAGAGCGTGCCGGGCTGCTCTGTGGCTGCTCGCTGACCTGTGCCAGGAGGGGAGCAGCCACTCCCCACCCCTGAGTTTATTTCCCACGTGGAAATCTCCCTCAGCCTCGGGGACGCGACGGTTCCGTGGCACGGTCCGTGTGGGATGGATTCTGCTGGCTGCTCCTTTCCTGTGAGAACCCCGGGCTTGCTCTGGGGTCCTGTGTGCTGGAAAAGTCTCTCCTCCAGCCCTGCTCCCAAAGAAAGGCTCAGCAGTCTCTGTTGTTGGGTCTCAAGGCAGTTTATTGCAAGTTATCTCAAAGATTTTCTTCTGGGGCTGCTGTGGTTTGCTCAGAGCTCAGGCAGAGGTACACACACACCCTGACATCCTCTCTGGCTGCTGTCTTCTTCTTCTCTCCCCCAGCCCAGGGCTGCTGCTCTCTTTTATATGATATATTACGTATTACATGGTTACAGTTTTTCCCCAATGCCTACTACCTATATTACAAAGTGTTTTTCTACTCCAAACCGATCTGTGAGTGCCAACATCACCAAGAACGTGGAGGCAAGGAAGAAGAAGGAGGAAGAACAGGATCAGCCCACTTTCCTCCATCTTAGAACTTCTGACCCCCATGTACAAAGTAACAACCCTCTTGCCCGGTTGTTAAACCCCCCTGTACAATACTAAAACAATTTCTCTCTGTTTTGTAACTACTTTTACTGTCCCATCTAACCCTTTGTGACTGCTTGTTCCACCTCCAAAGTTGGTAACTCATTCCATGGCTCAAACTCAAAATCACAGCTGTTTGCAGCTGCCTGCCAGGGTCTCAAATGCTTCTGCCCATGGCCTGGAACCTCTAAAAATGTCTGAGGGACATTTTGAGTTCCTACATTTTCCAGGTCTTGGGGGGATCTGTGCAGACAGCCAGCAGCAGAGAGGAGCACTGGATCCATCATCTCATTATGGCGCAGTCATTTGTGAAAGAAATTCCATTAATCTGCATAACTGAACAGAGGAACGGAAAGTTATAAATATTAACTGTGTAAATATTCTGTGATGCTTTAGGTAACTTAAGATTTACTCCTGGAAAAGAGCATTTATCCTTGGACAAGAGCAGACAGTGCATTCCAGCAGGGCTGAATCTCTGTTTTGTGGCTGCAGGAGTAAATTAAAATAGCAGTTCTATACAGAAGGCTGAAGAGGAAAGTGTCTCTGATGTTTCAGCCCCTAATTACACCCCTAAAGTGGAAATTATAGAGCTGCTGGCTTGCACCGAGCTGTTCTGCCTTCCTCAGGGCAAAGGTGCTGTCCCTGGGGCTGAGAGCAGGGCTCCCTTGCCAGGGGCTCTCCCCAAAGGCAGTTTGGATTTGGGATCTGTGCAGCACCCAGGACGTCGTGTTTGCCATCAGGGCAGAGGTGCTGGGGGGGATCCTCGCTCCTGGGCTCGTTACCAGCCTGATTAATTAGCAGGGAGTGCCCTGGCACATGTCGGCCCCTTCAAGCTGGGTCTGGACTTTGGTGTTTTAGCAGAGCTGTGGCTCAGCCTTCCTCTCCTGCCAGCACTGCCTGGGGCTCAGCTGCAGGAGTCAGTGCTGTGGGGAAACCCTGGTATTAATTAATTTCTGTCTATTAGAGGATTTATTGGTATTTATTGCACATAAAAGCAGCTGTGTGCCTGGGGAATCCCAGGCTGGGTGTGCTGCTGAGGGAGGGGGTCTGGGCAGGGCAGCCACAGCCCCTCCTGTTTCTGCACCTTTAAAAGCCTTCCATGTTTTAAAATATTTCAGTATTTTACACGAGCACAGGCGTATTTTACCAGGTGCAGAGGGGCAGGTGTGAGTCAGGAGCGCTCCTGGGAGCAGCTCAGGGGCAGTGCCAGGCAGAACAGGGACGCTGCCAGCCTGCTGCCACCTCGGTTTCCTCCCCTGGGCAGTGCCCACGGCTGTCTGCTCAGGAGCCCTGCAGCAGCAGGACCAGTGCTGCCTGCCAGCTCAGCTCCCTGGGCGGGAGAGGGGCAGGGAGCAGCTCAGATCCCCCCAGGCACCTCTGTAAATAACGGGATCCCAGAATCCTGGGATGGTTGGGGCTGGAAGGATCCCAAATTCCCCCCAGTGCCCCCCTGCCATGGCAGGGACCCCTCCCACTGTCCCAGCTGCTCCAGCCCCAGTGCCCAGCCTGGCCTTGGGCACTGCCAGGGATCCAGGGGCAGCCCCAGCTGCTCTGGGAATTCCATCCTGTGCCAGGGCCACTCAGGAATTCCTTCCCATCCTTCTGGAGCTGTTGCTGTGGCTGGTGCCAACCCATCTGGGACTCCAGAGCTCGCCAGGGACCCGTGGCCCCTCCTGCAGGGTGGCCCCATGCCCGTCCTGCTGCCCCAGGTGCTGTGGGGCACAGGCAGTGTGATGTGCTCTGTGTTGGGTGTTTGTGAGGAGAAGGGTGCCCTGTGCTCTGTGTTGGGTGCTCCTGGGGAGAAGGGTGCCCTGTGCTCTGTGTTGGGTGCTCCTGGGGAGAAGGGTGCCCTGT